TAGATTGATATGGCAATGATTATAGAATCTTAATTATTTCCTTTATCCATGAACAATTTTTTTACAACGAATTATTCCCTGTAAAATATTATTACAGCATTTCACAAATATTTAGAACGGACTCAGTATAACAGATCATAAACATAAACAAATGAAGTAACTGAAAGAATCATATACTAATGAAATTCAAATTACATTAACATATGGTTTGACAGCTCCATTTAAGTAATGTTAAATAATGTTTACATTCAGGCTAGTGACATCATTATTTTAAATTTATAATCCTTACCCTCTCTGTTCCAATATTTGTGCAGTATTTAATATGTTTGAACCAGTTGTGTGGAATTATGAAATCCAAATTCATTTGACAGTTAGTTCTGCTTGTTTACATTTTTAAACTTTGTAGGTTTGTTCTTTGTTACCATGGATACTATCAATCAATATTTACTTTTAAATCTCTCACCTGAAATTTTTTAAAGCCCACGGGGCAGAGCCCTAGGACAATATCGAAGCGGGAATAGTTCTATATGTATCCTCGGAGATGTAGCTTCATTTTTGTGCAATTTGAGCCCAGTCAGTTCTGTAGTTTTTGAGATTACCCCATACAAACACACACACACAGACACCACCTCTTCTTTATCTAATATATAAAATTCTCGTGTCACAGTGTTTGTCTGCAAACTCCTCCGGAACGACTTCACCGATCGTTATGAAATTTGGTGTGTAAATTCTGTAGGTATGCGAATCGGACGTAAACTATTTCCCGTTTCGAAATTCTTAAAAGGGCTCCGCCCCAGTGGCTCTGGAGTTTCCCATGTTAACCTTATGAGAAATGGAATTAATGAATCTTAACAGCTGTTTCAATTAAACAAGTTGGTTCTGTTCTATGATGTTCAATAGCATTAAAGTTACAAGGATTACCAACAGGGTGCAGCACTATTATTTCTTTTACATTTATGACAACAGCTAATTTGCAACCAAAAGGTGAGTGAGCGTAGCGAACGAACTTCAACCTGGAGGCGAGTTAGCGTAGCGAACGAGCTAACCTGAAGGCAAGTGAGCGCAGCGAACGAGCTCCAACCTAAAGGTGAGTGAGCGTAGCGAACGAGCTCCAACCCAAAGGTGAGTGAGCGTAGCGAACGAACTTCAACCTGGAGGCGAGTTAGCATAGCGAACGAGCTAACCTGAAGGCAAGTGAGCGCAGCGAACGAGCTCCAACCTAAAGGTGAGTGAGCGTAGCGAACGAGCTCCAACCCAAAGGTGAGTGAGCGTAGCGAACGAACTTCAATAATAGTATAGATTTATTTAACAATGATATGTTTGCTGCCTTTTCATGTTAAACCTCTGGGGTGATTCAAATTATTTATTGAAAATAACATCAACAAATAAAGCAAACAAAACACCATATCTGTTTTTTTACACAAAAGATATGGTGTACCAGGGATACCTATCCTGACACATAGATAATGTTATTCTGCGTTTGTTTAAATACCGGAATTGCAATAAATTGTTTTACATTTGAGCTTTTTAGGGACTTATGTCCCTATAAGCCACTAGTTATCTTTATTTACATTATACATTTTATATACATAAATAGTGTCAAAGCATACACAATTGGTTATACAATTTAATCTAAAAGACTTAACTATACAATTTGACAATTATTTTAGAATGGATAGGTAATTTGATTTAGCTGGATTCATTTTTTTTTAGAAACTCGTCTATATTATAGGGAGCCAAATTATAGTTCGGCCGCTTAGAAAGCGACCTCCTCCAGCATTGGTTTAGCATTAGCGCGCAGGTCGTTTTCTAAGCGGCCGAACTATAGTTTTTAGTTTAAGGAGCCAAGAATGATTTTAGTTTCTTCAAAAAATTGGTTTTGTTTTGATCTTTTTTTAAATCTGACTTTAATGTGAACTTTATAATTCTTAAAACTTCAATTTTGGATTTCTTTCCCTTGATTAACCTTTAATCAAAAGAAAGCTAAAATAAAAGTACAAAGAGAAAAATAGTTTGCTTTCCTTATTTTTAACACTCCAGTTTAGAAAAACCCATGTACAAACATTGAAAAATAACGACAATAATCAGAAAAAGGTAGTTGTTAATTATTATAAAAGACTATCAAATAAAATGAGGTAGCCTTATGACTGTTTTTAGTTTCTAAATAATTCAGATTATATGTAGGAATACATTGCCGTATATCTTTACATGGTCAAATTATTTATTAATGACCTTTAATTTCACTGTATCAAATTACTTATTTACCCAATACAATTGTTTACAATATTATATGTACACTGCTAACAAACAAGTTTCAGCAAAGATTAATGGGAATAAGAGGAAGTCTCAAATAAATAGTGATGATAAATGTGAATCATTTCATAAAACGTCATTAATTTTCCCAAGTTAAAACCATAGATTATTAAACTTTGTCATTCTTATGGATCAATGAAGACAATTTTAATGTTAGTTTTGTCCAGTGCTTCTAGGGGCATGTTTTTGTTTACAATTTGTTTCGTGTTATTTCAGTTATTTTAATACTAGTTTAGTGAGAGTGCCAAAAGTGTTGATAAAGGGAAGGCATCAGGAAGCACCATATCTGTTCAAAATTTAAGTCAGGAGGTTGGGGCTTTAAACTCACAGCAGACAGTTGCAAGAGATCCAATTATAAATTGTTCTCTGGTTTTATAGCTAAAAGTTACAAACTATAAAATTAACTCTAGCCTAAAATTATAGAAACAAAGACTAGCGTTTAGTGTCATCAACACGAACCAGGCAAAAAAATGAGTTTCAGATTTTACAACGGAATAAGAACTCTTCTTGTGTAGTCTATAATAAAACCAAACATTTTAAGTACCAATGACCAAAATAATATTCTATTCTTTTTTAGCAGTAAAAACTAAACTGTCCTAACATTTCTTTGAAAAATCTGTCTGTATCTACTAAGAATGTCTAGGAAGAGAATAAATTCAACACTAATCAGCTGTTTTGCTATTCTCTCCTATGATATAATCAGCTGGAGCTGAGTCAGGTGGTTACCTCAGTGTTAGTCTTTCTCTCTCACATTCCATGTGTTCTCATAGTGTAATTAGCTGTGCAGTGCAAATAACTGTTGAAGTCAACTTATTGTGTTCTTATTTTGCCCTACGATCACTTATAAAATGTTTATGTAGGCAAGGACGTTTTAGTTGTGTATTTATTTCACTATAAACCAATTTTGTACTTTAATTGTTTTATATATGCATTTTTTTTGTAATTTTCATAACGGTCTGTGGTTTTTTTATTTGTCATAACTATTTAATTAGGTTACTCTTTTATGTAGGAATATTGTCTCATTAATAATAGTAAAGTTAGTCTTTGCCAATGGTAGTGGTTTATTTATAACAAGTTTAAGTGTCAAGAGATTGCTGTTTGCTAACCTTGTTTTCCAAACAGTTTAATACTTTTAGTAAAGTTAATTAAATTGAGGTTTTCATTTCCATTATCTAAATAAATATAAACAACAATTTTAAACCTAGCTCTTTTATTTTAGAAAGTTTACTGACTAATTTATTTGGTTTTTTACACAAGCCTATTGCCATCTTTGCAATATATGTTAAGAATAGCTTGATTTTTATAGAGCTCAGATAGTTCCATTGGGCTGAGGGTCGGAGAAATGGGGTTAGCAAAATGAACAACTTTACTTTACTAGTAGTACCGGTAGGTACCGTACGAGAGTGCGAAATTTAACTATTAACTAACTTTTGTATAACAAATTAACACTTCTTTGCCGTAGCTCTACAAAATGAAATTTCATTTGTATATAAAATGAAATTGATCTCAATTACGATTGTTTTTCTTATATGAACCTCTTGTACTTGGTACTTTGCACAGCATATATTGAAATGCATCTTAAAAGATTGCTTTCAAAAGATTAAGATTTTGTTATGCAAGTTTTTCAACTATCTGATATACGTTTCAACTATTAGAAAGCTATATTGTATAGGAAGCTGAGACTTAATTCATTTAAATTTATTTGGTAGTTTAATTGAATATAAATATTACTGTATTTTGTATTCATACATTTATACTTATTTTATTAATTTTTGTTTTAGTTTACAGATATACCTTCACTAAATTTATGGTTAACAATCGTGTGAATACTAACGCCATTGTTTTAAAAATATTTTTAAATTAACAATAATTTATTTGATAAAACTGGTAGCTATTGGTAGCTGTCATCTCATAAGAACTGATAGTTTTGTTAAACTGCTGTCAAATAATGTCTGATGACGAATGGTGATTCAACTAACAAGTCAATTAGTGAAAAATGTGAGCATTAAGAGCATCATGCTAGAATCTAGGAATGGAACATGGTTGTAAATTAGGAAGGATTTTGCTTAATAAACTGAAAATTGTTACATACTATTTTGTGTGTATATCAATTCTCTGACGTAACACAATCAAAAATTTCAGTGGGTGAGTCTACCACTTGGATTTAGAGGGTTCTAGGACTTCCTCTTCAGCCTTGAATAGTGTAGGAGCTTTGGTGCTGTGTGTGTGACAAAACATAGGTTGTGTACTATCAAATGCTGACTTGTAAAACATCATATGATTATGAATACTGAGTGATCTTTTAACTGCCAAGTAGACCTACAGTTACAAGGGACAGTTTTTAACTAATGATAACAAGCTATAACAGTCGGTAGACTTGTTATAATAACCTGTTGTACACTCATGATTGGATGTCTTTATCAAATTACTGTGAGGTTTTAGTAAGTGTTCCAAAGCTGTAGTCCTCTTTAGCCTCAAACAGGGTAGACAGGTGCAGTGTGCGTTACAAAACTAAAATGTCTTAATCTTCATGTATGGTTTTCAAAACTAAGTGTGTTTTTTAACCGCTCAAGTACAGGACCGTTGTTAGTGACAAGGGACAGTTGATAACCACGATTACAAGTTGTGACAGTTGGTAGACATGTTAATAAGCTGTGGTACGCTCATAGAGTGGGTGTCTGTCGCAGTGGCAGCATTGACGTGTCAGCGAATGACGGCCAAACCTGAGAGCTCGCGACAGTCCGCCTCCGTTGACATCGAGGCCAGCGTTCAGAAAACCGAAACTTGGCACCTGAACAAGAAATTCACGGTGAGCAACAAATTTCATTGCATAGTGGCTAGAATTTAGATAAGTTGAGAAAGTATTATAATTGATTTTTTTCACATGAATGTTGAAAACATATTTACATGGTATTTTTATGTAGTCCAACTGAAATAAGTATTTAACATTTCTCACTGACAGAAAGAATAATTATAAAAATAAAAATAATAACTTCAAAAATAAATAAGTAATAATGTCAAACAGAAGAAGAAATTGGTTTACATGGGCTGGGCCTGTGTGCAGACTGAGTTCCATACAAAATTGTTTGTAAGAATTTGTTTAGAGGGCAGCAAAAATCAAGAACTAACTATTACGATGTTTGTATTCCATCTATAATATTAACTGTAATCAAGTTGTTTTTACTCATCTCTCATGATCAAACAAAAATTCATAATCCAACCTAAACATCTTAAATTTGGTTTTAAACTACTGGATATAATTTCCTCGAGTTGGTCACATAGACTTGCTTTTTTAGTTGATTCTCCATTAAAAAAGATCATTGTTGAATTAGCCTTTCCCAGAGAGTACTACACTCGAAAATTCAATCTTCTCCTTTAGTTTTTGTCCCTGTGGTAGTTGATGTAACATAAAATGTCCTAATAAGTTGTCCTGTCAGTTGGGCTTGTATAAAGGTCGGTGTATTCGACAGAAATGAGTAATTTACATTGCCACACTCTGTTGGTGGTTCAATTAAACTAAATGTTCTTTTTTATTCCAAATCTTGCTACAACTTTATCATGGGGGTATAATGTCTAGTTCTATCCATAGCCAAATCTTGTATAGATTATATTAGTTAACAGGTTCCATCCAGTTCTCATAAGAGTGTTTGTAGGTGTACAAAGTCGTAGTTGTTTCATCCACCGAGTGCTGGTTCGTGTTCCGACGCTACAATGAGTTCTACGAACTGCATCATATCCTCAAGAAACAGGTCAGTTACAATAGTTGTCCTACTCATTTTTACCTCCATCTTTGTTCTTTTATCTTCATTTTAAATAAAAAATCTATCTTTTGTTCAATTTTTGTTCTATTTATTTTTAAGTGTTATATTAGACTAAAAGTATATTGTAAGAATTATTATAAGTCTCCAAAGCACGTATCACACTGGATTACACTGTAACAAAAATCAGTGACCTAGGATTTTGTGTTGTGCTTGCGTGATTGATCACTTTAAATGATTAATACTGATTTGTTTACATGACAAGTACCTAAGTGTAGGAAAGAGCCACGCGACTCTAACTTTGCCTGCTGAAATAGAGGATTTTTATTTTTGGATTCTTAAAGTAGTGGCACAATGTTCCAAACAAACCCTACAGGAGGAAAATAACTTGATATTAGCTAGTGTAGAAATAAAAATACTGTATTTTCCATTTAGAAATTTCAAATTTGGTAAATAAAAAAATTGCTACAGTAAGCGTTGAATTTCCCTTGTGACACAGCCCAGCCATAGGATCATTCCTCTTATCTCGTAGATAATGTGTCACTCTGGTACCAGGCAGTATCAGCCATACTATCTACTCATGTGAGTGATTCAAGGACCAGTTTCATTAATTCAAATTCCCACTAGGTCAAATAATTTAAATTTGTCACATTAGGTATTCCATGATACATTTGCTCAAAAATTAAAGTCTCTACTAAAAACGTAGTCTAGTAAAAACGTATATGAGCTTCATGTAATGGGATTTTGACTTAAGAAAAACTCCTACAAATAACAGAGATTGTATTAAACAATCTTCTATTTCGCTGTCATTAAGTCAAAACCCCATTGGGTCAAACTTTGAGTATGTTAAAAACAACGTAGTCCTCCCAATTCCCAACCTTCAATTATATCGTCTTTTGGCGTACTTAGGATGATCCAAAAATGTTATAAAGTGGCACAGAGCTTCTTGGTTAGTGCTACTTGCTGACTGTTAGGTTGGAATCGAAAATAATTTATTAACTGTATTAATACAAATTTATACACATGGCAAACAAGCAATTCAATTGGAGCATGGTTTCATTGCAATTTGTGACATGGAAAAGTTAGCAAGCGAGGATAGCTTTTACTTTTTGGTCAGAAAGGTTTTTTCTTTGGCAAAGTTGTAGCCAAAAGGTGCAGTTGTAACATATACAGAGTGAACAACCTTACTGTGCCACTATTGGTATCCCAGAAACTATTAGATTTACAGAAAACATGAAATTGGAAAATTGAAAAATTGAAAATTCAACTATTTTCTTAGGAAATTAAAAAAATATGAAATCCACTTTTTTTAATGGCCGCCATTCATCAAGTTAAAACATTTAGCTGGTCTAAAACATTAAGGTGATTGTTTCAGGGCGAGTAGTCGCTTACGCCGGGACATTCAATAATTTAAATATTTTCTACACTCACATCAAATTATACACGTCAGCTACAGAGCTGCAAATGGCGCCGTTGTTCACAGATTATGCCAGTAAACAGTAAGGATCCTCATTGCGGTGTACACAAAAACTAAAAAGCTATATTATACACAAATGGCCCTTACTTAAGAAACGACCCTCGAATTTTGTATCTCTAGCCCATGGACTAGTCCCTTACAAAAACACTAATCAAAATCTTGGCTGTACACAATATAAATCTTGGCATGTTCGCAGAACATGAATGATTAGTTTTATATTAAAGCAGTTTGAAAAACAAAATATGCATGACTTCCATGAATTTTAAAAGGAATATTTAAAATATGTACATAAATTAGTATTACAGCATAAATGTTCAAATAGTTAGTCAGAAAATATAAAAGTTTTGCAAATATGTTCAACAATGATACTAGAGGGTGTGTCAAGTCTATGCTCACACTCAGATTAATCTATAAACTTGTGTTTAGATATGTTAGCTGTCATAGTCTGTTTTTTGCAGGTGCCTAACTTGCAGCTCAAGTTCCCAGGCAAGAAGCTGTTTGGCAACAACCTGGACCCTCAGTTTGTGGCTCAGAGACGAGAAGGGCTCAACAACTTTGTCCAACAACTCATGCAGGACCCCAAACTGCTCAACATGTCAGTATAATTTTATTTCTTACTATCTAACTTGTTTGTCCACTTACATTCTAGGGCACTGGGCTCTAGCCTGGAACCTTTTTCTTATTATTTGAGGCTAGGCCGTGAGGGTCACATTGTTATATAGGTAATATTTGTTGGTGATTGACGGGATTCAAACCTAAGACATCACAGACCAAAGTCCCGCACTTTACCACTAGACAGGCTTGCTTTTATTCTAACTGACTATACAGGGTGATTGGTACTCAGTGTGACAAATTTTTTTTGTGCAAGTACAAAGTAAATGCAATGTGATGATGCATATAAAAGGGTCCAAGTCTAAAAATTAGCTTCCCAAAGAATTATTTTATGCAGCTTATTTGGTCAAGTGGTTATGTAAAGATAGACATATATTATACAGTAGTAGACAAACATCTCATTATAATAAAATTATTAGATTGTACATGTTTAGTTGTAAACAAATGTTGTTAATTAATTATGAAATTATGATATTGTAGTTATACACGAGGGTTCGCCATAGTGTACGTGAAAAAAAAATATAAAAGTTGTATTTTTGCTTGTAGCGGTGAAGTGAGGACGTTCCTACAACTGGATGGACACAGACCAACTGCGGAGGAATCCAGCACTGAAGAAAGTTGTGAGAAGGCGGAGGAGGACGAGAATTTGAACTTAGGGCCAACCGAAAGAACCTAGTAAGTCCAACCTATCAACATTGTTGTTAAACTTTCCAGATTAATCAAATCACTAATATCAATGATTGGGTAATAAATAATGATTGGTGGCTGTTGTGTTATCCTTTTTTAATTTAACCGGCTGAATACTGCACATATCTTTGTCATTCCATAATTCATACTTTACAAATTTTTGTATAGAGTCACTACAAACCTCATGCAACAAAACTGAGTGAGATAATCCTCCCACACCGACTTAAATTTGTTTAAAAAATCTTCCTATATTGGAATATGGGACAACAATTCTAGACTTTTGTAGGCCTACCCGAACAATAAAAAAAGTTGAATGTAGTCCCTTGATGATGAAATATCCAGCTCCACTTTAATATGTATTGAATTTTCATGCTTTACAGCGCAAGACCAAGTGATTTTGAGTTTCTCCATGTGATTGGCAAAGGTAGTTTCGGCAAGGTGTTGTTGGCAAGACATCGATGTGATTCTAAATACTATGCAGTTAAGGTAACAAACTTGAATCACTATTATAACTCAATTTTCTGAAAACATTTACTTGTTGCCAATCTAATTTTGGAATGTGTAAAAGGGCATAAGGGCTTAGGTTTTGAACATTTGTGTTGCATTAGCAAGCTTACCTGCATGGGAAATAGTCAAATATTTGCACATGAATACAAGAAACACAAAAACTTAACACTGTACACAAATGATTGGAATACTTTTTAAATACCTGTATTTGTGAATTCTTTTATAATTTGTATACTAAACAAACGTTTACGTTTACGTTTAAAGCATTATTTTAAACCAGAACAATTTTAGTAGGGAGATAAGATGCCTCCAGGTACAATCTGCAAGTTAAACTTCTGAAGACATTATTTCCATCTGCGACAAAAAATGTTCCTTGCTCAGTTACAAACTGTGAACAAGTTGGTTGGTATCTGCGACTCCTTAAATATACTTTAGCTACGTGTTATGTTAGCTGATTTAATTATACTACTTGGTACATAACATCAAAACTTATTGTTAAGGGTAAATGTGTACATTTTGTCTGGGTAGCCGAGTGTTTATAGTGCTTTGCTTAAGATCTAAAGGTTGTTGGTTCTATTCCCAGCAAGATGTTTCCAGAGCCATTTGCCATTTGTAATTTGGCTTTCAAGTAATGGTACTTTTTATTTAACAAAAAACTGTCTATAAAAAACGGGCTATAAGTTATTTCTGGTGTGTAGGTTGAGTTTTAACATGTTTGGTGAGTAGGAAAAAAGTAAAAATTTAATTACTGAGCTGAAAGACCTTTAAGCCTTCCTCCACTTGTGTAGGTTTTGTCCAAGAGGCTGATTTTGAGGCGGAACGAGGCTCAACATATCATGTCAGAGAGGAATGTACTGATGAAGAATCTCCATCACCCGTTCTTGGTGGGGCTGCACTTCAGCTTCCAGACAAAGGACAAGCTGTTCTTTGTCCTGGACTATGTCAACGGAGGCGAGGTGAGTGTTGGAATGAATAGGACTCTTCCGAAAGTTCAGGTTATATTCTAAGATGTTAGCCTCATCTTAGAATATAAAAACCTTTTGAACAATTTTGTTGATCGAAACAAAAAATTGACTTCCAAATGCAAGAGATTTTGCCGGTAACCATCTGTAACTCTATAACTGAAGTCTTCTGATCATACCTCTAGATTGTTTAGATTGTATTTCATCCATACGGTGCCATCACACTAGGGTGTGTACTTGAAGGGGAAGATAAGTTAAGGATGAATATTGAGGAAATTAGAATCATAGCTTTGTTTGAACTAAGATCAGCTGGTTTTATATCCAGAATCATAGCTGGGTCCAGTTTCAACCATCAAAAACCTAGGCTAAAACATTACCTCAAGATCACACTGGCAACGTTCTGATTACTAGACAAGCACTAAATCTACTTAGCTAAGTTACACTCAGCTCAAATAACTTACTACAGTTAATTATTAAGGAAATTGACAGGAAAGCAGGCTTACCTTTAAATAAGTCCATACAGACACAAAAAATATACAACTCAAAAGTAGAAATTTTCTTCAACCACTGGAGAAAAAAAAGAATTCTCTTTTTCCAATTTAAAAGCTGCACTTTTCAGTTGTTTCAACCAACAAATATGTGAATTAATTTTGAAGGAGGGAGAAAAGGAAATGGAATAGAGAAAGGAGAATAGGTTATACTCCAGGTTATAGGTTATCTCCAGGTCTTACCATGAGTACTACGGTAATAGGTTACTGTATTCCCTATATGAGAAATTCTCTAAAAGGGTGTCTTTAAAATAATACAAAAAATAATAACTGCCTAGTTAACTGACATGTTTGAACTTGGTTTGATTTGATTTATTTATGCTGAAAATACAGTTAGTGACGTCAAACGGCACCTGAGAAATCTTCCGTGTGCCGTTTCGGAAAATACACCAGGATGTGTTGTTTAAGGCAACAACAAGTTACATATGAAAGGGGTGAAAACTTTTTTAAGACAAAGATCATCTGGGTTCTTTGGACAAGATGGTTTTCTTAAAATTCTTTGAAACAACCCAGAGACAAAAATCCTAAGCAATATATTTCTGTTATCATCCATTCACTCAGATATAATATGCTTGCTAGAGGAAATAGTTAAATTATATCAAAATTTTATGAACATTGAAACTATCTTTTTACATTGTACTCCTAGACACAAACCAATTCGCTAATTACTAAATGCTAAAAACTAAATGCTAATTACTTAAAACGTTTCTGAGTTTAAAGACAACGTTTAGAGATATATTAGCTAGTCTGCATCACCTCTTCCAAACTAATCAAATATTCACCCGTTCAAGCGCACCAAAAGTTTTTTGTTTTTTTCAGCTCTTTTTCCACCTGCAGCGGGAGAGGACATTCACAGAGCCCCGTGCCAGGTTCTACGCTGCAGAGGTGGCGTCTGCACTTGGCTACTTGCACAGTCAGGGCATCGTTTATCGCGACCTCAAGCCAGAGAATTTACTGTTGGACTGCACGGGTCATGTCGTTCTGACTGACTTTGGCCTCAGCAAGGAGGGTTTGTTAGCAACAGACACAACCAACACGTTCTGTGGCACACCTGAGTATCTGGCGCCCGAGGTTGTCAGGAAAGAGGTAGGTTGAAAATATGAACAACTCAGTTAACAGTATAACAGTATGGGAAGTAGATAAATATCTGTCCGTCTCACCCTGCCTATCATTTTTCCAATAATTTGTCAATTCTTACCATTCTTTCTCGTCTTACAAGCATCTCATTTATTTCAATTTCTTTTAAGTGAATTTTTTTTACAGTTAATTTAGTTTTATTAACAATGGGTGCATTTCAGATTATTCTAGAATTGTTATGCTGTCTTTGTCATTATCACCCTAGTTTTTTTGTCGTCATTCAAGGTCGCGTCGTGATTCTTCCTTCCTTTCTGCCTTCCCCTTTCTCCCCGCCCCACAAGGCGCAGTTTCAAGTGTGCAATATAATATAGGTTTCCATGGCAACCAACTGTAGTTATAGCAACGACCAAATCAAGCACTGCGCTGTTCTTCAACGCACAGCTGTGTAATGAAAGACAACATGATAAATCTCACGTTGTATATCTCGTCAGGCCTTCGATCGATATCATTCATTTCTTGCATCTTAACTCAGTTCAGTTATTATCCTGATAATCAACTCTTTAATGTCTTGACAATTTGGAATGTTCTTTAACATATTAGAATAATTCATTGCGGTATGTTTTTTCGTTATGGCATTATCAATGTTAATCTTGGTTTGTTGGCTACTCATCACATAAATAAAATTATAAACAATTTACTAAAAAAAATGTTAAGGTATATTTCGAGTTTGCATCGAAACCCATCTCCAGCCTCTGGTAATAACATATCAAGTAAACAAACTATGATAGTTTATTTACTTGATATGTTGTTACCAGAGGCTGAAGATGGGTTTCGATGCAAACTCGAAATATACCTTCACATTTTTTTTAGTAAATTGTGTATAATTTTATTTATGTGATGAGTAGCCAATAAACCAAGATTAACATATTAGAATAATGTTGTGTTTATTTTAACATTGGCTGAACGTTCTTATTATGCCTATTATGCACTTTTTAGGGGGGAAATTGTCTGCAGAGTTTTCTCTTATCACCTCTCCTGCCTTGCTATTCTCTATTTAACTGTGCGGCAGGAAAAATGTTTTCTTATTCTCATAGACTGTAAATTTCTTAATTTCAGACTGTAAAACTGTGAAATAGCCGCAAATTTTACAATTTAATTTCTGTGGGAACATTGCGTCATTAAGGTGGTCTTAAACCTATCAATAAGAAGAACATCGTGACATTTTGTTTTGCTTTTTGTTCCCACCATTTAAGTAATAAATAACCACTTTTATAGTCTTAATTGTGTGGATTGGTGTGGCCCGTGACTTTAGTAACTGTTCATGGTACTCAACTATGGCCTATTTGTTTTCGAAAAGCAATATTACAATTATTTACTCCTGAAAATGTTTGTTAAGTATATAACATTTTCCTACATAGTAAAGTGGTTGAAATTATCTATTATATTATATATGCAATATTTATGCGACGATTTAACCTAGTTTAGACTTTAGATAATACAGGCGTGAAAAACGTGATTTCGGCGTAATTTTTGTATCCTGATTTTGTGGACACCCTGCTTGTCCTCCCAATAATCTTGACTTCAATTCACAAATTCCTATTTCAATTTCAAACGTAAGTTAATTTTTGTACTAGAGTAAATAAACAAAATGGAAAATGTTGTATTTATCTTACTGTAAATCAGTTTATTGTAATTCTGAACATTGTCTTTTGTTTGGTGTTACTCACATCTGCTCTTGTTGTACAGCCGTATGATCGCAGTGTAGACTGGTGGTGTCTGGGCGCAGTGTTGTACGAGATGTTGTATGGTCTACCTCCATTCTACAGTCGCAACATAACTGAGATGTATGACCAGATACTTTATCAGCCTCTAAGACTGAGGGTCGGGCCAACAGAGGCTGCCAAAAGGATACTGACAGAGGTAGGCTAATGTTCCTGACGTTACAGACAGCTGAACAACGTTTAAAATCAAATGTTTGTAATGGTTAGCTGATTTCACAATTTTTTTCTGGTTTCAATACTAAGATTTTTACTTTTTTCTAAATTCCAGATAAGATTACTTATAATTTCACACCAAATGATAAAATACCAATAGACAAAAATAAAGTTGTGATAATGTCATAAGTTGTCTGTGAAGTTTGCACGATATTGTCACAATTGTAGGACATGACTATAAAGTCATTGTATAACATGATATAACTCAACCGAAAAATCCACTACTCGCCTACGCCTATACCAATAATTCATGTCAGCCGCATTGAAGAAAGTCTTTGAGTACAAAACACAATGAGGGCTCATCTGTATGAAAAGAATAAACCATTCGGTTAGGATCTCAAACCAGCAAGTAGTGTCTTACAGATTTTCATTTTTAAAGGAATATTATCCATCCCTTTATAAATAGCCCAAAGAATAAACTGCTTAACAACACTAAGTATCATAATAAAATTATAAATGTGAAAGTTTGTGTGTTTCTTTGTTTAGGGTTCAATCACGCATTAACTACTGGTCGGACTGGGCTGAAATTTGGCATGATGATAGCTCACATTCCTGATTAACATATAGGCCTATTCTTATCTCAAAAATCCTTTCGGGCTCCGCCCCAATGTCTTTGTAGTTTCCCATGTTAACTTTATAATTATCTATAATATTAAAATGAAACAGTGTTTTTTTATTTCACGATTCTGAATCAACCACTCGATGGATTTTCATGATTTTTGTGTTGAAAGTAAGATAATTTTGAGAACTAGGGAATGTCAAAGCCATAATTTTAGTTTAGGGCCCCAGATTTTTAGAAATAAAGTTTTAATTTTTAAAAAGTCTAGCAGCCGAAGCTTAAGATTCTAAACTAGCTTTTGGCATAAAATAATTTGCTTAACATAACAGCTGTAAACATTCAGCTTTTGTGTCACAAATTCAGCATTTGGATAAAAATGTATAGACATACTTAGGGTTGACTTATTTATACTATGTGTAATGCTAATCATTGATACGTTCAATTCTTCTGTAAGAGGATGACAGATTAATTAAATATACATAGTAAAATACTAGGATGTTAAAATGATTTTTTAAAGCAATCTTTATATTTTTCGATTTGTTTTAGAGCAATATAATTTGTTTTAACTAACAGCTGGTTAAATATAAACTATGGAACTATGACGTTATTTTATTTACTCTTATTTTGTCATTGATTATAGGAAATAAGTAAGATTAGTAGAGATGATTAGACCACAGTTTAAAATAGTTTAGACCAAAATTAATTAAACCACAGTACAAATCGAGGCTCTGTACACGAATCTTAATAAAAAAGGATAAATGCAAATTATTTTACTGCTCCACTTTTCAAGGAAAGATTAGAAAAATAAGAATGTTTACATGTTTTAATTCTTCATGGTAGCTTTTTGTTTACAATGAATGTTTGTCTGCTTTAACTTTGTTTGGATTAGGCCCGGAAATATTAATGTCATAAAAAGAAGATCAAGAATAATAAGGAATCACGATTTTAAATTACCACCACAACCTCAGCCGGGTTTTATACAAAGATAAACAGATGGATGACATATATTGAACACAACGTCAACATTGACCTAGGATACTGCAATTAGACAACCCATCCTTTTATATGAAATCGTGTTTAGTTGTGTTGTGGTTACGTTTGGGGGCGCCTATATCAGCGCCTCCAAACGTGAAAATATCACTTTTCTTTCAACTATGAATATATTGTAGTTTAAATTAAATAATATGGGAAATTACGATGTACATTTATTCAATGAGGGTGGGTAATTATCAAGGATAGAACTGATAACGGTATGAATAATAAACATTGACAATTACGTCATTAGCTTTACTAGCGTGTTTACTTTTTATATTCCTGCTACTCAGTTCTTTTTTTCAAATGAATGTTATTTGAACCAAACAGCTGTTTCAAAACAAACTGTTATTGTTTTTACTTTTCTTTGTTTACACTTATTTATTTAGCAATTAATGCAGTGAAATTGATATAAAGGATAGGTGTGACGATTAGTTTTGATGGTAGGACACCAAAGTTAAATTATGTGTACTCTGAATTTTATTGGATATTATCGTTTTATTTTGGGTCGTTTCTATTCAGACCTACTGGAATTTGTGTATAGTAGTTGTATTGTGGTGATAATAATTATGGAAGAGGCAGGTATGCTATGGAAGGTGGTATAGTTGACTAGGTCTATACACTTCTCAATTGACTATTACCACAGATAATATAACCCCTACTCTCTCTACTGTAGGCTACTTATAATCAGTGTGCGTCTGTGCGAATCGGCTTCAACGCTTATCACATCATAAAAATTGCAGAATTGCTGTTTTATTGTAAAATTATTGGATATAAAATGCATATCGTATAGGCCTATGATGGAATAAAAACATATTAGGTCACACAACATTTGTTTACCAAGATTGATTGATTGATACAAGATACAATACAATATGATACAATATGAAATACAAGATGATTTTTCACATTAAAACTGCAAGAAACTTTGTCTTTATATGTGTAAACTAGCTGATCTGAATTGTACACGGTTTTAACTGACTACTGATTTCCCGTACGTAGGACGGGCTAACAGCTCGTTCATATTTAAAAGGAATTAAAGAATTTTGTTAGCCGTGTCAACTAAACAAGTTGGTTCTATGATATATAATAGCATCAAAAAGTTACAAGGTTGATATCGTCAATATGCGTGATTCGATCAACTCGATATCACAGACGATCAATTAATATAAAATATCAGAAATGACAAAAATAAATGTGAACAAAAACCTATCAGAAATGACAAAAATAAATGTGAACAAAAACCATCTTCTTTATTTCATTCCACACTGAAACTATTATTTGTTTTTAACCAAAAACAATTGAAAAACATATGACTGTTTATATATTAATTATTAAACAGTCTTTTGGCAAACTTATATGAAATATATTGAGGTGTTTTCTTTATCAATGATTAATCATCGTACGTCAAGGTTTACCAACAGGGTGCACTACTATTAGTCTTTTTTGCATTTATGACAACAGCTAATTTGAACTAAGCAGCAATAAAAAGCTGTGATACACACTGTCAAGTAGGATTGTATGTATACATATATGTTGATGTTTTTAATTTAATAACTAATTTGTGATATTGTGCGAATGTTTGATAATATACTTTTTTATTTTTTTTAAATGCAGTGGTAGAAGAACATTAGGGCTATGGTAGATGTGTTATGCTACAGCATACTGTAAATTAAAAGAACTAGGGATGGACGGGATTGAATTTTTAGTTTGGGACGGGACGTGATTTTTATTTCCTTCCAAATTTTCTGGACGGGATGGGACGGGATTTCTTCCTGTGCATAAAAAGAAAGTCTTGAGTATTGCAGTTACAAAAAAAGACAAACAAAATCTATTTTTACCATTTGTGGCACAATAGACTAACCAACACAAGTAGACTTCTCATCCCATTGTAAATTTTGAAGCTCGTTTTTCATGTCTAGTTCATGTATGCCACACTGGGCGCTGGTGTCGACGAAATTTTGTTTCTATTATTTTAGGGTTAATTTCTCGATTTGTGCTTTACTGTTTGGTTAAATAACTAGGGGACAATTTATTGTTTATGATTAGATCGTATTATTTGGTTAAACGAGGTTTTAAATGACTGTATTAACGGGAAACAAATTGTAAACAAAACACGACCTCTAACATAAACCGTACAGAACTAACAATAAAATTGTCTTCAGCTGTTCCATTAGGATGAGAAATGTACTAAGGGAGTATGTTTTATCTATGGTGGCACTGATCTATAAAAACCAAAAAATTGGGTAAAAATTTACAGGTAAAGAAACTTGTGATTCACGGTCTCGGCGGGATCGGCGAAATCACTCACGGTCATGTCGCGATCGTCGAAACCACTTCGCCTCCTGCGTTCGCGGAACTATCGTGAACATCTCTTACGATAGCGGCGTCATCGTCACTCGCGAAGCGGCAAAATCACCGACGATCGGATCAAATCCCATCCCGAAAAATTCCCGAATCAAATGTAATCCCGTCCCAAAAATCAAGAATATTTTTTTCCCAAAAATTTTCCGAAATTTCTGGACCCGTCCATCCCTAAAAAGAACCCATTGCAAACGCAAAGCACGAGTATTGCAATAAACATTAGACTTATACGCCAACCCCGTAGGAAGGACGGGTACTCTGCTAGTTTTTTTTTTTATTAAAATATACCTCTGCTTTGAAATAATTTTAAAACACGGCTTAAATACATTTCAAAAGGCTCGTTTTGTTATTTGGGGAATCATTTGTAGTTACTTTTAAAAATCACAAATGTTAATGTTCTGTTCTATGAAAGCTTCTGGAGAAAGACGCATCACAACGTCTGGGGTCAGGTTATGGGGATTTTGATGATGTTGCAAGCCATGAATTCTTTCGATCCATCAACTGGTCAGATCTTCTGGCACGAAAGATCAAACCCCCCTTCAACCCTAAAGTGGTAAGTCTGGGTGTTAATATAGATATCTTTTCAAACAGCCAAACTTAAAATATCTGGTTAGCTGTGTGAATTTAGTGCTCACTTGATAATGAGAAGGCTGCCAGCTATATGTCGAGAAAAGTCCGTCTGACAGTTTCGAAGCTATCATATTCTCTCAGCTCTCACTTTTCTTACCCTTAACCCTTAGGAGACCAACTTCTGATTTTTCGGAAGTTAATATTTTTTGCTAAAAAGACAAACTTCTCATATATATCGGCAGTTTAAATAAACCATTAAAAAAATTTGAGAAAAAAATCAAAAAATTAACAAGAGCATGCAAGAAATGTTAATGAGGGCTGCTATTCAAAAGTTATAGCATTTTTTCTAAAACATTGCAGAAACTGTTCAAAGTACCTAATTTAAACCATTAAAAATATAAAAAATAAGATATATCACTCGTTTATATTGTCTGGTCTAGAACTTACTTTTGACACAGAACTTAGTTATACCGTAAATATAAACGTTTTTGTTAGTGCCGATTCCCAGATCGAAGTAACAAGTATTGAAACTTTACTCGTATTATATATAGGATAATGTATTATGATTGACCTTAAGACCATCGGACTGTCCCAGACGATTGATCTTAACTATCTTAAGCTTCTGGTGCTTAAAATCCACCTTCAGCACACAGGACTTGGAAGACCTTTTACACCTTTTCTTCTCTCTTGGCAGTTGTTTTTCCATTATTTTACTAACATTTAAAACACTTCTATGCTAAAGCTACAAAATAATTTTAAAAAAAATTAGATTTACAGTATAACTTTGATTGCATTACAGAAAGGAGAGCTGGATATGCAGCACATAGACCCCGCGTTTATCCGAGAGTCCCTAGGCTCCATCGGACTGTCCCAGACGAGCGGAGCGCTCACGGCCAGTGTGAGGGAAGCAGACGAACACTTTGTAGGGTTTTCATACTCCTACGCTGCCCCCATCGACTACAACAACGACCGTGCGGCTGAGTTATGATGACGGCCTAGACTGCCCGCGTGCCCTACGTCATAAAGTTACCCGTCGGCGCCAATCATACGAATCTCATACGTCAGTAATCCTAAGTCTGTTGTCGCAGCCCATTGTTATACAGGTATTGTCACCTTTAAGATTTTGAGTAAGATATAAAAATATTAGTAGTTTTACACTGGTGCTTTGTTAGATTTTAAAAAGTGTTTGCAAATAAATATTTAAACTGTTTGTTAAATGTTTTAATAGTAATTTTATTGTCTTTAATTTTTTGAAAACACAAATAGAAGTATCAAGCCTGTATGAAAAAAATGGTTAGTGCAGGTTAACATTTCTTACATTCCCACATACCATATCCAATCCATGAGGACTTTGCAATACAGTACAAGACAGATATGTTAGCCCTCTTCTACTTTAATAGTTTGGGGCCTGTCTATCTGTATGGTAAGTGGTAGTCTGTAAATAGTGTTAATTTATTGAGAGTATTATCAGCATCCTAATAACATAATCTCTGTGTATGTAATTTGTACATGTTAGTCCTATCTTATAATAGCCAATGGTATTTTACTACAACTATGATTTTTCTTAGTTTAAGAGTTAGATATACTAAAAAAGGGTTTGATATTCCTGGACTTTTTCCTACGGAAGGTAGTGGATGTGGTTATTTTGAGTTGGTGTTAAATGAATAATTAATCAACAAGTAATTGAGAAAAATTGCCTTAACATTAAAACTTATTTAGAAGTGTATTTTTATAGGTCATAGTATGTATTTGAGACTGTTGCGCTTAAACTAACACCTGATTTAAAAGACTTTTGTTTTGTTGGTTAATGGTTTTGATTTGGTTATGAAAACTACATTGCAACGACTGAAATGTAAAAACAGGACAGGATTTAATTTTTAGTTCGGACGTGATTTTTATTTCCTTCCCTATTTTTGGGACGGGCGGGATTTTTTTCTCTGTACAAAAAAGGTTTGTTTTAAAAATCTTTAATAAACATTATTTTAGATATCAAAAATAGCAAACAAAATCTATTTGACCTTGTGAACTTGTTCCGCGGTCACGGCTACATTGTAAGAATGACTCGTGGTCACGGCGCCATCGTTAACATGATTCGAAGCCACAGCGTGATCATTGACATTACTCGCGGTCACGGAGAGCCATCATCGACATGTTGCGCAGTCACTGGTTCATCATAAACATCTCCTGCAATCACGGAGACATCGTCATCACTTCCTGGGTTCTCGGAACCATTGTGAAAATCTCTCGCAACAGCATAGACATAGACATCGTCACCCGGCATACAATCGATTTCTCCCACGATCGCAGAAACGGCATCATCGTCAGTTCCGATGTGGCAAAATTGCCGGCGATTGACTCAAATCTAATGTAAATTCCGTCCCGATGATCAAGAATATTTTTCCCCAATTTTTCCTAAATTCGGAAATCTTCCATCTTCTCACCCTCCTCATCCTTCTCCTCCTCCTTCTCCTATCTTCCTCCAAATAGTAAACAGTCTAAAGATGGATTTTAATTTCACAGTTTAACTTGAAGAATTGTGATTAATTTTGGAGGGCTATTAGTTTGGTATTTATGTGGCATACAGGGTTAAAGAATTGTTGTGCATACAGTATAACAGAAACTATTGGCTGCATTTACATTTTTATAGATATGTTAGTAATTGAAAAAAAAACAAAGCTTTCTTATAATGTCCGCAAACATAAAAATGAAACTTTAAAAAAATAATAGAACAGAATGCACTTTTTATGATTAGAACCTTAAAAATATTTTAACTTATATTGTTTAAAGCTATTTTAGTGAAAAAGACATTTTTTAAGGGTATTAACTTTACGTATTTTCTATCCCATAACAATGTTTAAGTTATAATAAAACTGCAATACAACAAAATTGTTTTGAGACTCTTCTTGTATTGCAATTGCGAGTTATTGTATTTTCTCATTTGCTTCATTTTCACTAATAAAACTTTTTGCAACATCATATTTTTTATAAAAATGGATGATAATGATAATTGGTTAATTTCAAGCAATTTAGCTGCAGTAATCATCTACTACTGCAGCCAAACCTATCTCTGTATTGAGAATGCACTGTTTGGCCACTTTGCATTTTTCATGTTGTAAACCAAACTATTGTTGTCAACATTTAAAAATGTTATTGGAAATTACTCTATTAGTCTGTTTGTTTTCCACAGATTACTTTAATTGTTCTCTTTTTGAATTCACTTATCTTGATATAAATATTTAATTTGCGATTTTGGTTCTTAATGGAAATTGTTGACAAGAGATAGCTAATTAAGTACCAGTAGCTCTTTGATGATTTCTTAAATAATTAAATATCTATTAATTTAGGATTACAGTATAAGAACATAGTTATAATATATTGTAAAAAGGTATAATTTTATTCGTAATGGCTGTAAATACCACATTCATGTGCCCATTATTAATGTGTTGTTATGTCGACTTGTTGTTATGTCAAGGCCTAAGACTTAGCTTAGCAAAAATATAGATTGCCTTCTGTAAGTGTTATTGTTGGCTCGCTTATACAGTTGATTTTTATAGAGTATTTTTACTGTTCGTAAGTTTTTATTGGTTTCAATTTAGAATGTGTCAAATAAAAAAACTTTTGTCATGTATTTTGGAATGTTGAAATGTGAGGATAACCTTTTTTCTCTAAAGACAATTTTTATAATAACCTTTTCATCAAAATTTAAATTTTTTGTTTAATAACTTTCCAACCCTGATAGTATTTTTTGTGGAAGATAAATACCATGTAAAATAAGTGTAAGATGTAGTCCACATTACTACAAAAAAGTGTGTAACACTGACTGTGAGTTAGGATATTTTTTAGCTCTACATACTTGACCATTTTATCCATGAATGATGTTAGGCTAATAACAATTTATGTATTAAAAATCTAGCTTCTGGCTAGTAACAGTTATAAACAAGGTTCTCTGTAAATTTTATGCTATTTATATAAAACCATCTTTTAATAGGAAAATATTCTAACTATGATAAAACTAATTTATTTCTGCTTGTTACCTCCCCTTCTCTCTAGTCATTGATTCGTCTTTGTAAAATGACAAAATCTATAAATCTACCAGAAAGTTGTAATCGCTGACAAAACCTATTAAGTTATCTTAATGTTAAATCTGTCAAGCTACAGTAAAGAAATTAACTATTGAAAATCTATTGGCAGAGGTAAAACGTGGAACCTTGAGTAATAAAAATAAACTAAAAAGGATAAATTGAAAATTTTATATTTATTAATAACAAATATATCACATAAAAATGAAAACAAAAATTATTGCCATTGATGATACACCATCAGTATATGATTGAAACTTGTATGAGTGAAGTCAATAAGTCTTGGAGAATAATTCTAATCAAAAGCTTGAAAATAAAGTTTGTACTTTTATACGAGTTTTGAAATGTAACATAAAAAATAAATCATGCATATAACATGTTTTTGCGTAAACCCAAGAATTTTCTTGTGTAAAACATCTTATAAAAAGCAACTTTTACATGAAGGTAAATATTTGCAAATTTGTTTGGTATTTAACTTTTACTGTTCAAAACAACTTTCTGGTGTATTCTATAACTTTTTTGTATACATTTTTTTGCTGAAAACCATTTGCAATATTACCTATACCAACTTGTTATATATCACTTGTAGTAAAATACATAGCACAACCCACATTATTAGATTAAATGCAGACACGGTTCAGAAGTGAATCAAAGTGTGAATGTCTCTCATTTTCTTTACCAAAAATGTAAATATTTTCTAGCCATTAAGCTCTTCTTTAAACCAAAAATGGTTGCCAAAAATGTATAACCAAACTTGTTTGTAAATTGACTGATGTAAACTATATCTCAAAAAAGTATTTATAATATATTTACAATATTCCAATTAAAAATGTACTTACTATCAACGTGTGGTCTGGTATAGTTAAAGTATTATTAGAAATTTTAGCATTTCTGCTTAGTTATTGTTAGTCAGTAACTGTATATTTTGGGTTTAGATTTTGTAACGTTGTATTTTGTATACTTTTTGTGTTTCTTATAATTGAGAGTGTGAACAAACTTATCTGGCAAGGCTAAATATTGTATCCATGAAGTAGAGGTGTGCAGACTTATGTTTTGGATCAGATAAAATAAATATTTTGTAAATAATTGTGTGTGTTATATTAAACATTTAGTGTTCTTTGAGTTTTTATACACTGATTTTTCATTAATTTAGTTTTATCCGAAGACTTGATATCCATAAACACTTATTGTTAACAGTGATTGTTTTGCATCTAGTAGATTTTAACATGTAACCTGCCGATCATCATGTGGCCTTTAGCACTTCTGGAATTTATATTAGTAGAGAGTCAAAAATACAAACCAATTGGGACTGTAAGTAGTTCAGATTACCGATTTGTTCGGATTTTCAAACATAGCCTAGAAATGCCTAATAGACACATAATTAGGCCTATAGTATTGAAAATACAGTTCTATGATACATTGAATGAAATCAAAATAATGATTTTTGTACTTAGGTATTTTCGTTATATAACTGTAATTCGTTTCTTGAAAAAAATATGAAGAGCTTATACATTGGAAACGAACAAAACACAGACTGGCTCGGTGTGCTCACTCATTGCCCTGCCAGGCGCCGACTGTTTGGCCCGCGAAATTGTAAAACATCTGTTGTCTCTGTGCTAATTCAATATTTTAAAACTCTCAGGGGCGGTTCGGATTTTTGACGTTTCAGATTTTTTACGTTCGGATTTTCGACTCTCTACTGTACTATCATTATTTTTGGCTTGCATTTTGCCCTCAATTGTGTGCTGTAGGTATTCCTCGAGTACCCAACGGGAAATATTGTCTTTATAACATTAAAAAACCACTGACATACACATCTCTATTTTAAATCCAATGTCTTTTTATATACTTTTGGTTCAAAATATTAAGTCCATCTTGGTCTAAATTTATTTATATATCTCTAACTCGCTAACCTTTGAATAAATTGGAAGCTGCAATCAAATTTTTTTGGAAAAAAATTATAATTTTGTTGGGACATTGCTTATACCTGGGATCTTCACCCCATGCAAATGCCAGAGTCTGACATTTTCTTCAAATTATCCGTTTAAAGTGTTACGCTGATAACTTGTAAACAATAAGCATCGAACCTCACAAAGTGCTATCTCTAAAAATTCGTTAACTAAGCAAACACAAATATATGTACTTAGGTTTTAAGGGAGTATGATTTATCTATGGTTTTACTATTACAAATTAAGTTATATGGAATATTTCATACCGTAACTATTTATCACTTTTATCACTTAACAAGGACAAATTATTAGTTCATTAGTAAATAACTAATACTACAATTTCAATATTTTGTAAAACCCACAAATGTGGTAGTAATAGGTTCTTGATTTTAATTTAAATTAACCTTAATATTTTTCAGCTCCTAATTAAATTTTAATTTCTATTGAGACCCCATTTCATAGTGGTGCTGAATTGGTTAGTTAACGTTGTAAATAAAACCTTTTTTGCTCTAAAATCTGTGAAATTTTTTATGGATTTGTTTTGTTCCTCTTTTTCTGTGATGTCAGCAACTTGTTGATTGAGGTGACTACTTTAAAAGACTGTATATATAAATTCATGGTTGTAGTACCAAGCAGTTACTTAAGATTTTGTTTTAAATATTGTGTTAAATGTCACCCTACCTATCTATCGATATTCAATAATAGTTTGTGCCTTTAACTATTGTAATAGTAATATCAATTCATAATTATTTCAATTTTCTTCTGAATGATTGTGTACCAATACCTAATAGTTTTTTCCTTGTGCAATGAAGAGGAATAGATTTTGCAATACATTCTATAACAATATTTGTATTGTTTGTTGTAATTTCTTACATAACTAATCATAGGAAAACCAAACAATCAGTGAGTGTTCACTTAAATCTAATCTCTTGGTTTCTCGTCATCTGTGTCCATTCTAATTTTAAAAGAAATCTTAAAGTTCAAATTTTAAATCGCCTTTCTTCTAATGAATACATACTACAAGATAAATTTGAGTCAAATCGTTAAATGATGAGACATAAGACAAAAGAGCCTAGGTGTTTCGGATTGTTGTTGGGATATTAGTCTTATCTGAAGGGGCTAAACACAAAAACTTCTATTTACAAAAAAAAAAAAAAGAATTTGCTGTTACTTAGAGCATTTAACTTAACATTGGATCTTAAGAAATATTTTTTTCCAATTCAAACTTTTCTTTGTAAAAAACACTCAGTGACAGTGAAATAATTCAATTTTTTGTGTACATTGAAAGTATTTTGCGTTTATTGTACCAATAACTCTTTCTCATTTGGGTAAGTCTAATATACCAACAAAAATCCCTAAAATACAACGTAAATTTGTTGATGTAGTTGTCTTAAAGAAGGCTAAATTAATCCTATATTACTAAGGTCACAAAGAAAACAATAGTGTTATGCTGTTAACTTTGTGCAATATGTTGACTGAACTCTTGGAACAAACAACCAAGTGTTGTAGACTGTAAGCGGTCACCCCACTGCCGCATTTGTATTATGTATGCTTCATAGATGTTAGCCTATTATGTCATCTAGTATTTTTATGCCGAGGATTTTCTTTTGTAAATAAATCCCATTCAGTAGCTGTGTTGTGTTATTCACATACGTGATTCTCCTCTTTTAAAATATGTTAAGAAGACCCTAAAATTGTGGTTATTTCACTTCGATGCAACCATGCTGCATGCTGGATAATATCAATACATCTCAATACTAGTATATGGGCATAATGTTTATAGACAGAGGCTGATAAAATGGAAGAAAATTAAATAATTTTCACTTTATGGAGTTGATGGGATATGAGCAGTGGCGTCATTTGGGGGGGGGGGCAGGGGGGGCATTTGCCCCCCCTGGTTCCTGGGCTAGAGAAAAAAATATGCTGTACTAGCTAATATACAAATATTTTCTCCTGTCAAATCCTAAATGCACGGCAGACAAAAAACTTGCGTATTCTTCTACAGTAATTTGAAACAAAAATATTATTTTTGAGTGTCTCAGTAGCACATTCAAATTGATTGTGTCAAATTATTTTATTGATAATAAAATTTGATTTGCTTTTAAGTACTTAAACACTTATGTTTTATTTAAAAACCAAATTAAACTGTTATGAACTATAGGCTATGAATACAACCGTATTCATTGCTATGTAGGTCTAAATGTTGTACAAGAGAATTTGGTCATAAATCTAATAACAAAAATAATATTAATACACTATGAAACTATTGATCACGTTTCTTAGATGACTAACCTACCAACATATTATATTATGTTTCTGTCTGTTATCAATAATTGTTAGTTTCATTAATTTTCTGCCTAAATTCAAATAAATTTGACTCATAATTTTGTTTTTATTCTAAGTGCTTTTGACAGTTAAAATAAGCTTAAACCCCTCTTTTTTGTTTAAAAACTGCAACATTTTCCAGGGGAGGACCCCCGAACCCCCCCCCCTCGGTTTACTGGGGGGTTTTCCGTACCCCCCAGTGTTTGCCCCCCCCCCAAGGATTTGGTGAAATGATGCCAATGGATAAGAGTTAACATTGGGACTCTTCAGATGGTTAGAAACTTATACTCCGCTCACAAGGAAAAGTTAATTTTTACCCCATCCAGTTTCTGATCGACATCCTTCATCCTTCATCTGATCGACATGGACGGTATAGGTATAGTTTCTGGTGTGAGTTTTCCACAGAATGGGTAAGCTCATTTGCAAATGTGCAAGTACAGCGGATTGAGTAAGGTGACACTAACAACAAACTACATGAGTTTTGTTTTGTACTCAATTATTGCAAAGGTGGTATTATGTTGCAGTGAGTAGTAACTCGGTTTGTATGTGGTGACAGGTGTTTTTGGGCTGTAGTAAAGTGGGTAGCCATTGGCTATTAATTGCGCCCCCCCCCCATCTAATTGGCTCGGGTACGAGGTACGATACGAGCGGAAACCTAAGCTGCACATAAGCGGCGGTGGTTGTTACGATACAATGGGCACATTTATAACGCTCATCAAATTTCCTCGGTTGTAGGAGTCAGTTTAGTCAAAATTGGCAAACTGTGCTTACCCGCAAGACGTATTGAAACTATTGTTGCTATCTGACAAATGTTATCGCCTTTAATGAAAAAGTTAGTTTTTAGAAAAGACTTAGTTTAGTGGTGACTGAAGTGTTTATAGTACTGAAGTAGCTTAGTACGTTATCATCATTGGCAGTCCACACATTATTTATTTTTCAAACGAAACTGGAATTAATAAAACATTCATTTGGTTAAACTAATATATCTATTTGATATAACATAAATAGCTTATACATACAGGTCAACTATCAGTTCTATTTCGTGGGAAAAATCCAGCAGCCCGTAAATAGAATACAATGATAAACAGTAATAATAATAGTTAATAATTATTATGTCTTTTATTGGTGACAATATTCCCGTGGCGGAGCACGGGCGGTTAAATAGTTCTTTTTAAATGTGAATACTAATAAGGTGTACATAGGAAACTCCAGAGCCAATGGGGTCGGACCCCGAAAGGGGTTTTTCGATAAGAATATGTCTATATGTCGATCGGGAATGTGAGCTATAATCATAACAATTTTCAGCCCAATCTGACCAATAGTTGCGTGATTTAACTTCAAACAAACACACAAAATTTCACATTAATATTAGTAAAATAAAATAGTATAGGCCTATATCAAATTCCTGATTTAAAATATTAATTTAAGTTAGTTTACAATATTAAATTTAAAATCAATGAATCAAATTACAGTATATTTAATTTTACAGAATATAATTCCAACTGGTTAACTGCCAGTGTTCATGGTGGCGAGTGCTCGGGTTGGCACGTTATCGCATACGTGAGTGGTGGCAGGTTGACGGCACCGAACATTGAGCGTACACGTCAACCCACCACCTCGTAATAGAGTGGTGGCGGGTTGATGGGGTGGCACGTTGTCGCATACATGCGAGGTGGTGGGTTGCCGTCATCAAACATGGAGCTTCAAGACAACCCACCACCTATAATAAAAAATGGTGGTGGCGGGTTGTCGTGGTGGCGAGTAGACACGTATGTACACGTCAACCCGCCACCTCTGTTTTTTTGTGGTGGCAGGTTGACGCCTCTGACCAAAACACTGAGGTGGCGGTTTGACGTGGTGGCGCCTTGGCAGCGACCCCCCTAGAGTATGATTTTAAATCTATGGTTGAACGATGGACGATGAGGGTGGAACGTGGAACAGCTAACTCCATATCAGAAGGAGCAGAACAAGAGCTAGAGCACAGCAGTCAGCTGGTTGGTTGGTACAGTAAAGTAAACAAAATGAGATGGTAGGGGAAGGGGATCGAAAAGAATTGTCAACTGTGTATTGTTATTGTTTTGTTTACATCTTCAACAAAATATCAAGAAAGTAGACTAATATAACTAAAAAGAATTTTCTTTTGGTATTAAGTTTTATAGTAATTAATTGATTGGATTATTAGCTACGCCTATTGATATTTTAAACTTTTTATTAGCAATATAAGTTAGGCCTACTGTAGGTCTGTATTTCTAAATACTGAGGATGTGTTTGATCAGAACAATATGTTTGAAGAAGTCATTTCAATTTAAAAGGCAGATTTTGAATGTACAAACAGCCATGATGACTCAAAGAAATTTATCCTTTGATTTAAAGGTTAGTCAAATTATATTTTTATAGGTTTGGTTGATTAAATTTGTAATTTCGCAAGTTACCATACATACCTAGCATAAGAATATGTAGCCTTTACAACCAAAGGCCTAAGTACATAGGGCCTATTGTTTGATTTATTGATCTAAGTAGTAAGTTTATTTTATAACAAGTAGGCTACAGATAACATTCTATTTCACACTCAAATTCAACCCGAAATAACTTAACTTAGGCTTCTGGCTCTGGGGAGTGGAAATTTGCCCAGGTATTTTTTCCCTCAAACCTTGTACAGTATTTACCCGTAAACGCTGCAATGCTGCAAGGAGACTGAAATTAAGTTTACCCTCCATTTTCTGGGTTAGAAATTCAATGGAACCATCACCGTCCCCTTACAACCCCCCTTTTTACTTTTTAAGGGGGTAAATTCCCCTCTAACAAAAACAAATTTGGCCTTAGATGGAATTCCTTTTATTTTATGAATCCAAATATACCCCGATTGCAACACTTATCTTTTTTGCCCCTTAACGGGAAAATTTTATTTATTTATTTACCTACCAGTAAGGTTACATGTATACTTAGGGATCTAGGGAAGTGACAATGTTGCAATGCTACATGGAGACTGAAAGTATAGCTTACCCCCTATTTTCCGGGCCAGAAATTCAATGGAACAATCGTTCCCCCTACGACCCTCTTTTTTTCTTATTAGGGGGCTGAATTCCAACATTTAGGCTATATACTGCAGTTAGACATGTTAAATGAAGTGCTTTTATGTGCTGTAGGCCTACCGTAAATAAGTTAATTGATGACAAATTTGTTAAGTAACAGTAATCAAGTTAAGTTAATCAAAGGACTAAAATAACAAAATAGATAGATGTTCCGCGATTTGATCTTGGATCAAAAATAGGCTAGGCTACTTATGGAAGCTTTGATGACTACTGTTTAATGATTAAAAACCTTTTTCTTTTTGGAATTTTTTATTTGTAAGAACTGATTTATCAAAAACTCTTGTTAATAAGTTACTGTTCAACTAAGTGAGAATTTTAACTTTTTAGGAACACATTACAACTATAAACAACTATACAATCAACTATACTGTTGTCGGAAATGGAAAACATAATTTACTTCTCTTACCAGGAGCAATGGGTAGGTAAATCAAATTAATTGAAATGTTGTACAATATTATATTTTTGGTAAGTAAATAGGCTAACATAAGTTAAGTTAAATCACAGATGGATAAACCATGGTAGGCAAAATCTGTGTAGCCTAATTTTAAGATAACCAACAATAACATTGTCTTATTTTATGTTAAAAAACCAACACTAAGCAAAAATTTGTCTAGAAGGTAACTTCATTCGAGCAGTCAGGAAAATGGTGCCCGGCGACCTATACTCGCCATTTGACCGCAAAGATAAACTTTTTTTTATTGTTTATAAATTTTTTTTGTGAGTAGGCCTATAGGCTAGGTTGCCATTTACATATATTATGTATATACAGTATAGATATGTATACGTCCATAAACGCGATAACTTAAGTAATTTTTGTCCATTTTTGATGAAATTTGGTTTAAAGGTGTAAGGCGGGATTAACTTGAATGAGTCAGGGAACCAGCATGATCAGACCATGAGAATGGGGTTTTACAATGGGTTTTATGGGGTAAAAAATTGTTTTTCTCATTTTTGACCCTCAAAGCACAAAATTTCCCAATTTCTCTTTATACCTTTTTAAAGAGCATAAAAAAACAAATAATTTTTCCTACAGTCACCCGACAAAGTTGGCTTCCTTGTACTGTTTATAGTACAGAAAGCTGCTAATTGCTGCATATTTATACTTTGCCGTACGGTTTATACTTTGCTGTACGGTTTATACTTTGCCGCACATCAGGATTCCAACGAAACAACACAAAACAGCGTGGTTCCATTATGCACGTAATCCTTGTACGCTTGGAAATAGGTTGGCAACACTTAAAGATAATTATACTATGAGCAGCTGATTGACTATTATAACTACGATTTAACCTGTCATTTCGTGTTTATAGTTTCGGTATTTCTGAAATTTCTGGACTTTTCTTTTAAACGTTTTTAAAACCTTCCTACGATCTTAATAAACAAGAAAATACCTTTTAAGCATTTTTTTTAGGCGCGGAAACCACTTCAAATTACAAAAACATACGGAACTATATTCTCAAAACGCGGAGCACATTTCTTGCCGAGGAAAAATAGCGGAGTGATATGGACCGCGGGTACTACTTTCTCTAGGGCACCATTTGTGTTGCCAGCTGAACCTAAAAACGTGTTGCATAGTGTTTGAAAGACTAATTATTTATATGCTTTATAGTGACTGTAGGAAAAATATAATGTGTAACACGAGTGAAAAAGGCCTTTGCTGCACTCGAGATCATTCCACACTCGCCTGCGGCTCGTGCGTAAACATTGCTCTCGTGTGCAGCAAAGTGCCACTTTCACCACTAGTTACACAAATAACTATAGTATATCAAAGTGTTGTTTTACGGTTATTAGTAATGGAGAAAATTCAAAAAACTGTAAATTTTAAATTCCCATGTTATTCTTATGGAGGATAAACTTATTGTAAAATGTTGGTGTTTTCTTGTTTATGGATATATTTTGGTCAAACTTGGCAAATTTATTTATTTTATACTAACGTATTAATATTTTACTAAAAAGAAAACACCTTATTAGTTTCCTTGTGGCAGCAAACCTAGGTACTCGTTAAGCCTAATGTTATTTAAATATAGATTTGAAAATCAATTCAGACAAATGGAAATTTGCTTAATCGGCAGGTTTGCTGCGGCGGGGGTACTGTCATGAATAGAAGGTTATTCCCAAAGTAAGATTAAAATAGTTGTATATCACACGGAGCAAAAGTGTCTTTTTGGTACCTAATCGTACATCACGATTGCATACCAAAAAGAGCCACTTTCGTACCTAGGGATGAAAACTACAATTTTTATTTTTATATCAAAATTTTTCTGTTTACAGGTACAATGCAAAGTGATTTTGCTCCACAATTCAGTGGTTTAGATCAAGAAAAGTATACCTTGATATCATGGGATCCAATTGGGTATGGAAAAAGCAGACCTCCTCAACGAGAATTCATGCCAGATTTTTATGTGAACGACGCCAAAGTCGTAGGAGCTCTAATGAATGTAAATACTTTTGGTTCTTTGCACGCTCATTTAGATTTTGTTATTTTAATTTTGATTAGGCCATTTATAATATTTGGATTAAAAACTTATTTAGAAACAAAAATCTTTTTACCAACTTTACTCCAGATATCAGACTTTAGATCTCTTGAAAGCCGTTATCTTGTTGTTACTCAGGCACTTTATAACCATTGACTTTATAGTCAATGATATATAACCCAGTGATTTGTTTAAGCTAAAACAATGTTACAATGGGTTAGAAAACACTTGAAACACTAGAAAACAACTGAAATAAAATATTCTATTTATACTTAGAAACTGGACCGGCGGCAGTACTCTGTGTTGGGATGGAGTGATGGAGCCATCACAGCCATCATCTTGGCGGCGCTGCACCCTGACAATTTACACCGGGCTGTGCTGCTCGCACCGATGGCGTATGTTACTAAGGAGGATGTTGCAATCTACCAGGGTAATGCCAGCTTCTCATATCAGGTGGAGTTTAAAGCTGTGAATCAAGCTGTTTACTGTTTGTGAATAACCTTTTTGTATGCGTATACCAGAAACAGTACAGTTGAGTACCGATTATCCCAGTGCCGATTACAGGGCCGATTTACCGAATAGGCAAGGTAGGCACGTGCCTAGGGCGCGAGACAATTGGCTTTTTTGGGGGGGCGCCAAAAAATTGGAAAAAAGAAAAAAAAATTGTGGCCGTTTTTGCATGCGATCGCGGTAAACTGATAATCCCTTGCGGCCGTGAAGACACCTTAACAGTCTCCCACAGGCAAGATGTTAATTATTTACCGCGGTTGTATATACGTCATCATCGTCCGTCTCCCGCGATCGCGTCAAAGTTCTGACTATTTCCAGCGGATGTGTGGACATAATTATCGTCTTCCTTGATCGCGGCAATATATGAACACATCCCGCGGTCGTGATGAGATTATCACCGTCTACCGCGAATGAGGCAAAATTGTAATCTTTTCCCGGGACCGTGTGGACATTATCATCTCCTTGCGTGATCACGATAAAATTCTGATAATCCCTCACAGCCGTGAAGACATCATCGCCTCCCGTGGTCGTGAGGCATTGTCATCCTCTCCCGCCATTGCGGCAAATGGTAATCATCTCCCGTGGTTGTTTGTAGATCATCATAGTCTTTCACGAATGAGGCAAATTTCTGATCTTTCCCGTGGTTGAGTGGACATTATCATCGTCTTACGCGATTGCGGTAAAATTCTTATCATCCCACGCAGCCGTGTAGAGTAGACATCATTATTGTAACTCCCGCGATCCTGTAGACATCGCAATCGTCCCCCGCTGTCGTGAAGACATCATATAATCGTCTCCCTCGGTCATGAAGACATCGTAATCGTCTCCCGCGATCGTGAAGACATCGTAATCGTCTCCCGCGGTCGTGAAGACATCGTAATCGTCTCCCACGGTCGTGAAGACATCGTAATTTTCTCCCGCGATTACGGCAAAATGTTAATAATATCCCGCAGTTATGTGGATATCATTATCGTCTTCCGCGATCGTGGCAAATTTCTGACTGTTTTCCGTGGTTGTGTGGACCATGATCATATCCCGCGGTCATTTAGTCATTATCATAGTCTCGCGCGATCGCGGTAAAATCATGATCATATCCCATGGTCGTTTAGACATTATCATCGTATCATGCGATCGCGGCAATATTCTGATTATCCTTCACGGCTCTGTGGATCTCATTATCGTATTGCGCGATCGCGGTAAAATCATGATCATATCCCGCGGTCGTTTAGATATTATTATCATCTCATGCGATCGCGGCAAAGTTCTGATCATCCCTCGAGGCCTTGTGGAGACATATTATCGCCTCCCGTCTCCCTTGGTCACGGAAACGTCACTGTTGTAAATTGACAATTCCAGGTAGAAATAGAAAATTAACACATAATTCCTGGTTCAAAAAAATTCACGCTTAGCTCCCAGATTTCCCGGTTGGTGGTCCCTGTTATATATTGCAAAGGGGCGCTACTATTAGTTGTGCCTAGGGCGCTGACATGGTCAAAAACGGGCCTGGCCGATTATCCCAGTGCCGATTATCCTAGCTTCCGGGCTTGAAAAAAGTCGAGGGTGTTCGGCCGAAGTCGTGAGCGTTTGTAGTTGATTATTGCCATTTTGTAGCTTGTTTGCTTAGTTGTCAATACTGTAGTAGCTTTGAAGCTACTGGTGTGTTGTGAGGTGTGTAGTGTGTTATTTTTTAGCCTGATTAGTGGTAAACAAAAGCGTACAGTTGTTTAAATTGACTGCAATCAAACGTCTTGACAATGGAGAGTGAAAGTAGCTAATGGATTAGGTGTTGGTGAAGTGGCTGTGGGAGACTGGCGTTGTAAAATATCTTAACTTGAAGCATGGACTTCTCAGAGAAGCAGTTTCGATAAAATTTCAAGTCAGAAGACTATGATAAAGACATGTAAGGCATTATTTATATGGTTCTCTCAAATGAGGTCACTAGGTCGCCCATTAAGTGGGAAAAGTCAAAGCAATTGAATTTAAAAACCAATTCAAACATGGCAATGAACCTGTTGGGAGAATAGGTTTGGTATAAGACAGCTAGATATTAGTAGATAAAAGTTGTCGGTAAATTCTAATGACACTACCGAGAAAAATAAAAATAAATAAAATGGAATCCCTGATTTTGAAACATGGCTTTACCTCATTAGGCGATATATATATATATATATATATATATATATATATATATATTTGTTTTTTTTTATAGAGGGCCAGGCTTCAAGTAATTATGGGATTGCAGGGCAGCTAGAACAGCTTATTGTGCACCCTCATTCACAGGTCCTCATTCTTTGTCAAATCCCAGGTCCTTTGTGAACCATGAGATCCTTTTGACTATGGATTAACCCAATGGTTCTTCCCTTTGATCTCCAGTCGATAGGCCAAGGGATCTCATGCGCAGACCTTGTAGGGCTGGGCACATTTATATCACGTGGAATGCTGTCTTCTCCTCCTCTCCACAGGAGAGGCTTTCAACTTGAATTCCCATATTGTTTAAATGTCCACGGAATACCCAATGGCCGCTAATAAAGCCAACCCCACCTTCCCCAGGGTCTTCCTACCCAGCCCAAGGGCATCTGCCGCTATCGCACCTGTAAGGCGATATCCTTACCCCCTAATGTTACTTCTCTAATTCAGCCAACAATTGGTCGAAGGAAAACAGTTCCGAGAGGAAATAACACTAAAGAATGCTGCTTATTGGGTTGCCGAAGCAAGAGATAATTTAGCAGAACACTCAGTCAGGGAATCATGGAAGAAGCTTTTTGGGATACAATAGATAACAGAAAAACGTTCCTTCAACATTGGGTCCGAAACCAATGTCAGTGAGCTGATTGTACTGACAATGTCCTCCTCAGAAGATCAAACTGGGTAAATGGAGGGGATTTGAAATTTATGAAGAAATTTAAACTGTTTTCTGGTGGAGTTAAGCTACGGTACTCTTTTTAGTGAATTTCCCATATAGGGAATAAGCTATTACCGTTGGTCTCATGATAATACCTAGACCCGGGACCGATTTACTTTTTTGTTTTGAGGTCCCCAGAGGCCAAAAACACCATCCGTTCAATGCATATATATATTTTTTTATTTATAATATAAAAATTAAAAACATAGTTACAGTAGAGTCCTGCAGAATCGGCGTAGTGTGGACTGGAAAGGTGCAGAGTTTGTGAAATGCTGGGTTATCAGGAACTAGAGTTAAAAGTAAGAACAATACAATTTTTAAGCTTTTACTTGCCTTTTTTATCTATATAATTAATACGCTACATGAAACTTTGTCGGTCGAACTCCTACGCCATTTCTTAACCGATTTTATCCATTGACGTCTCATTGGAAAGAGCGTGTCGTGTAGATTTGCAAACTGGCCTTACATTTTTGAAAAAGTCACTTGGGCTCTGCCCGAGTGGCTTTGAAAGTTCCCATGTTATCCTTATGAAGAACATAATTGTTTACATTTTAATCAGCTATATAGTTTAATTGCTGTTATTTATTTTTCTATTCAAAGTCTTTTAAACTCATCGGAAATTATGATGACTTTTATTTGTTTTTAAATAACTACTTTAGTTCTTTGGAATTGCTCGATTTCGAGCAACGTGTTTACTAGTTTATATTTATTTTAAAAGTCAGTATTAAGTCACCAGATATAGTACAACAAATCCTTGGTACGAGTTGTGAATGATTTGACTTGAGCTGGCTTGAGTCCATGTTTAACTCGGACTCAAAAAATCACCAATTTTCTGAGCCAAGTGATGGCCGAGTTATCCAGACTGCCGGGTTATTGAGTGCCGAATTTGCGGGACTCTACTGTTTTTAAGGAATATTTTAGTATAAAAAGTAGTCTATTTAAATTCCATTGTCATAAACTGTCTTGTCTCTTGTTTACAAGTTTATGAGTTTGTTGCCTTGTGGTCATCCAACTGAAAGAGCAGTTGTTCAAGTTGAAATTCACATTTAATATTTAATCTGTTATAAAGAATGTTGGTCAGCAATGAAAACAACAACAAAAATCTAACACTTGAGGGACAAATCTCTAAAGGCAATGACCTGTTTATTCACCATTTGTCACTCTGCTAGAAGCTTTACAATTATACCTCAATCATAAAAATCTGTTGAGTAGGACGGCTGAAAATGGGATGTAACAGGGAAACCCATATTGAATTAATTATATGGAAGATAAGATTGCAAAAAGACAATGTTAGTAGGTCATGACCACCATCTACCAGCAACGTGTCGCATCCACAATCAGTACTGTTATTTGGCCTAACTTATGTCATATGTTTTTGTGTTGAGCCTGTGTGAGTGTTTATTTAGTTTTATTTATTATTGTTGTTATCATTTGCCATATTTAGTTATTAAAAATTACTTGCATGGAGACTTATTCAGGCATTTATTAATAAAAGGGCCCCTAAAAAAACAAAAAAAACTGAAATTTAAACTGTTAAATAATAAGTTTATGACATTAAAATTATATTGAACACGCAAAATAGATCAGATGTTTTGGATAAAAAATTGTTTGCCATTTTTTGACCCAGTATCCCAGTATGTTAGTTTAGTTGTAGGTAGAGCAGTGGGCTGACCCTCACCCCGTACACAAGGGAATATTTCCGAGGTTCCATGATAGGGAAAGGAACTGGCACAGTGTCTATGTCCCCTTCACAGTCTCAGTGATGAAGAGTATTCTCATTGAGACAATCAACTTCAAACAATTAGTCACAAATTTATATACACATTTAATATCTATATATTAATACGCAAGCAGTTTTCTTTTCACAGTCATAACTCAATAACGGCTTGATGGATTTTAAAGTTTGAGGTGTCAAATTAAAGGTATTTTCACGTAGATGTGCAAATACGTCTCAGAATATTTGGAAAGGTCACCACTTAAGTACAATTATTAAGGGCTAAAGTTTGGAAGGTGGCGCC